GGGGGGGGGGGGGGGGGGGGGGGGCGTTGGGGTTGTTTTGGGGCAGGCGGGGTCTAGTAAAGGGATGGCCAAAAGCCCTCGATCCACCACTGTGCAAAATATGATGTGAATGAATGAATCTTCCCGCTAGAACATGGGAGTATACACCATCATAGTTTTTGTCTTTTGCGCCTGTGCTGAGTAGTGCAGCCAGGCCCAAACGTTAGGTTCAGGGCATCGCCTCACCATTCTCGCTCGAAATTTGCGAAATGGGAATGAACTTCTCGCTAGAACATGGCCAGATGCACCCGCCACATTTTTTGTCTTTCTTTTTTTTTTTTTATTAAAAAAAAGCTATATTCCTCTCTCATCCATCTCATTTTTCTTGCTAGTACTCATCTATCTCATCCTCTCACTAGTGTTGGTGTAGTACGTGGGAACACCAACCAACCCGGATCTGTCCCCAGCCCACGGGGTAGGTTGGCACCACAGCAGTGGTGCGAGAGCAAGGCTATACCAGTCCCTCATCACGGCGACAAGGGGTGGGCAGGCATTGCCGATGGGGGAAATCGGCGGTGATAGCGCCTAGCAATGGCCCGTCACTGCACGTCCCCCTACCCCCCCCCCAAACCCCACATGGCAGTGTCTAATGGCCAATATTGTAGCTGCATAGCAACCAACAACACCAACCAAGGTCCTGCCAATGCTGGCTTCCGGGGCCAACGGGTTATCTCTAGCTGGCAGAACACCAAGCTTGCCCAGGCACGTACGTGAGGCCAATGGGGATTGAACCCACGGCCTCCTGAATGCAACTTCTGTGCCTTACCAACTGAGCTAGGCCCGTCTTTCTTTCACATTTCGAGAGTGGTGTGGCGGTGGAGGAGGGAGGAGTGAGAAAAGGGCCACCTCGCCTGTGCTGCTCCTCGCTCCCGTTTGGCTGCGCTCCCGCCGCCTGCGCGGCACACATTAGGATATTCTGAAGCTCTCCACACATTCAGGGCCTCGCCACACCACTCTTGAAACGGGGAAATTTTTCAAGAGCTGTCAGACGTTCTCAAGAGTTGGGTTTTCAAGAGTTCCGGGCCCCTCGCCACACAGCACTCTCGAAAGGGTGATGGTGTTGGACAAAAGATGGAAAACGACAGTCGTGCAGCTTTGTTTTTTCCGAATGGAGCCAGGATAACGGCCCGACAGCTCTCGAAAATCGAGAGTCCTTCGAGTGCCCTCGGGAGGACACTTGAAAAGCGCGGTGCTGCAGGCTGGGCGTTTAGGAGTTTCGAGAGCTACTCTCGAAACGAGGTTCTGACAACTCTCGAAAGAGTTTTCGGGCCACAACTCTCAAGTGGCTGTGTGGCGACGGCTCCAACTCTTGAAAACCGGGGGCAAGGTCCCACTTGCGCAAATAGGGAGATTTCGGCCGTTGATCTTTGCTATCTACGGTCAGTATCTTTTAATTCGTGCAGGTGGGACCTCGCCCCGGGTTTCAAGAGTGGTGTAGCGAGGCCCTCAGTCCGGCGTTGAATCCAAGCGTCGTTGCCTTTTTTTTTTTTTTTTTTTTTTTTTTTTTTGAATCCAAGCCTCGTTGGTAACCGTCTTCCGCGGAACACAACGCACCCGGAGGCTAGGCCCCACTTACACGAATTAAGAGATATATTGACCGTAGATAGCAAAGATCAACGGCCAGAATCTCTTAATCCGTGCAAGTGGGACCTTGCGCCGGATTATGAAACCGTCTTCCACGGAGCACAACGCACCCGGATTTTGAAATATGACAGCATCGAGCGGGACAGGTGGCTTGTAGACTTTCAGAATCAGGGTCCGTTGTGTTCGGGGGAAGCCCGTACGGCCCCTGGGGTCCGTTAGTCGGCTTATGATAAATGATATATGTCAAGGCCGTCACCCAATTCCATTACAGACGCAATGCAAGGTGTGGGTGCGCTTGCTTGCTGTGTGCCAGCCGCGCACAGCCGCATCGACGTACCGCACGCGGTCCGCCAGCTGCGCATTAGCGCGCAAGGGCCGTAGAGGTAGGGAGAGCAACCTACCGGTAGGAGGCGCAGTACTTAACGCAGGGCGGGCAGACGAGGGCGGGGACTTAGGAAAAAAAAAAAGAAAAAACAAAGAAACAAAGAAATAACCTCCAACGTGGGCTGAAAAGGCCACCGTTGTCAGATTAGACACAATACTGAATTTACCTGGGCTGGTTAGTCCGATGATAATACCTCAAGGCCATCGCCCTTTTTTTTTTTAAAAAAAACAAATAAAACACACACAATTAAAAAAATCGACTAAGCTATATTCTTCTCTCAATTTCATCTTTCACTACCCACCCCTACCACTACTCCTAAGCTTATATAGGGGCGAGGTCCCACTAGCAAAGAGGATTGGATGGAACGCCAGAATCTGGACGTGTTTTCAGCACAAATGCAGAAAAGCAATTCAATCTCCATTTTGTCCACCTTTCCACAAACGCGTCCCGATTCAGGCGTTCAATCCAATATTCTTTGCTAGTGGGACCTCGCCCCAGGGGTACCAAAAGTGGGACCTCGTGGGACCCGTAGCCGTGTTCCTCCAGACACCACGCACCCTGTTATTTTTTTCCTTTTTTTTTTTTTCTGTGTGGGACCCCAAAGGTACATCGCATACTTTCATTATCCGGGTACGTTGTGTTTGGCGGTAGCCGGTAGGACGGACGTTCGACGTGTCTATGAGCCGGCAGCTGCAAGTAGATTGAATTACTATTAGTCCTACTACACCATCATTATTATTATTATTATTATTATTATTATTATTATTATTATTATTATTATTTATATATGAATATGAACGAATTTACGAATTACTGCATGTTTATTGTTGTTGCTTTTGTTGTTGGTTGTGGCGGTTTTTGTTGACGTGTGAGAGAATGAATGGTAAGGTATTTAAACACCAAGAGAGAATGAGAGGGGTTTTGGGTTTTGCCCCTTGTCCGCGACAGGGTTATCTCCCCCATGCCATGCAATGGGTTGGGGGAGAGAGTAATGGGAGGAGAGAGGAGAAGGGAAAGGGGGTCGTTGCGTTTGAGAGAAGGCAATCTGATTCGATGGCTCGCTCGAGTGGTGGATGGTTTGATGTTCCAACTTCCAGCTGACGATTGTACCGCCGGGTTTGGAAATTGCGTGAGGGGCCATCGCTACCTGCGTGAGGTTGTGTCAGTCATGGCGTTGGCGGTGGCGAGAAGCCAATCCATGGCGCAGCTCTTAAGGGAGGAGATCGACAAGCGAAGATTTGAAGACCGGGGAGGTGCCAGATGATCGTTCACCTACTGGGGTAAAGGAGAGGAGTCGAAAGGCTAAGGAGACAGGATCTCTCTCTCTCTCTCTCTCTCTCTCTCTCTCTCTCTCTCTCTCTCTCTCTC